CCGTGCTCAGGAGCCCTCCCCGAAACGCCTCCCTTCCCGCCCAGGTTCCAGAGCTCCAAGTCTGGCAAGATCTACCTCCACAGGGACGTGCGGCTGCTGTTCTCCCGGAAGTCCATGGAGGTCGACAGCGGTGCCGCCTACGAGCTCAAGTCCTACACCGAGTCGCCCACCAACCCTCAGTTCTCACCGCGATGCTGACCCGGCGCGGCCCGCCCAAGGGTGGCGCGGTCCCCCGCTTGAAGGAGAGACTCGCTCGAGAGGAGCGCGCCGCTGACAGCCCGGAGGGCGGGCCAGGGTCCGGAAGGCCAGGGGGCGCCGCCCCGGGGGCCGGAGGCGCGCTCGGCCCGGCCGTGGAAGCCACCCGCTGGACACGTTGCAATAGCAGAGGCCCTGTTAGCTAGTGTTTACACGTTTCATGTGTTATTTAATATTTAATGTTTCCCTTAGTACTCCAGTGACGTCTGTCCATAGTGTTCTAACGTAGCACAAATCTCATGTAAAATCATACCATGTATTTTTGACATTCATGTTGGAATCTGAAATATATGCACAAGTCTTTAATTTTGTGTGATGTGTTTTAAATGCTGTTCATTTACACTATTGAAAACGAGAATGAAATGTTGAGCTTCTCTAAGATTACTGCACTATGCAAGCATGTGTACCTTTTCCGTCTCCGCCTCGAGTTCTGCGGGCGGCGCGGGCGGCGGCCCTGGTCCCTGTGTGGTCGGTGGCCATCGCTCCGTCCCCTGCTGGCTCCCTGTCCTCAGACGGTTCTATTTTTCCTTAATCAGCTCTCGAGAGGCTTTCCATCCAACTGCTGTCCCATGCTAGGTAATTTTTTGAAATTGTTAAAATACGTACTTTGAAAACAAATTAGTATTTATATTGTAAATATATGCCAGAAAACTCAAACAGCGTACTTGGCTTTTATTTTTAGTTGAGACACTTACGTGGCTGGGTGCAGCAGGCAGCTGCCCCGGTGGCTTGGCATCCAAGGCGGCCCCCGTTTCTCCATTGCTGGTTCAGAGTTGCCACAGAGGCTGGCAGTGCCACCACGCCGGGGACCTGGCTGAGGGCGCCGTACAAATTTGTGCAGCTTTGTTGTTCATATCCAGGTTGTGTGGAAAAAACTTGGGCCTGGGACCCCAGGGCGTGGGCGCTGGTCTTGGCTCTGGTGCAGTTCTGGGGCCTGCAAGCTGGAGACGAGGAGACAGTGGCCTTCTTAAGTTCCGGGGCCTGATGACGTTTTATGCCTACGTGTGTGTACAGTGCATACAGAGAAACAGAAGTAGTATGTAGGTGGGCCTCGAAGTCCTACCAGGCTTAGGACATCTTTGTTGTCATTTGGGTGGGTGCGTTGCTTAGTTTGACATAGTCTTGCTGACCTCAAACTTGAGATCATCCTGCCTCAGTCCCCCAACCTGAGCTGGCTGGGGAAGTGGTTTATCACTGACCCATATCCCCAACCCCAATTTTTAAAATATTTCATTAGACATACCTAGACTTACTCAACCCTGGAGAAAAGTCGATATTGATTGTTTTGATTATTTTTTGACCTTTCCAGTGAGGTTTTCCCCAAAACTAGTAGGTGTGCGCAGGGTCTGTGTGTGCGGACGCCATGCCGCAGCCCTCCCACGACCCCGGCACATCTCCCGGCCTTTCTGGCACGGCTTAGAAAACTGAAGGAGTGGGCTGTATCCATTGGCTTTCTGTTGCTGGTAACTGTCACAGACTGGACGGATGAGAAGGAAAAGTTTACTTTAGCTCGACGCTCTAGAAGGACGAGGCCAGGTTGCTGCATCCAGAGGGGTTGCTGCTGGAGCAGCCCAGGCGGCGCCGTGCCTCGGCACGTGACAGAGTGAGCGCATGCGTACATGCGTGTCTGTCTACACCTCTTCTGGTTTCTCCCCTGTAGCCCTTGGGACATAAAACTAACTTTGTCCTCAAGACGCATAAACGTGGATGTATGTCAGACACAGGTTTAGTCTTTAGAATGTTTCTATTGATGAATTATTAATTTTATGAGTGTTATTATATTACACAATGAGTAACAGGAAAAATCACAAAAATAAAGTGTTGAGTTTTTAGTATTTATTGAGTGTTTATAAAAAAGCATCAAATTTTTCAACATCAGTTGGTCTAAAAAAGAACATTAAGGCTGAGACAGGAGGATCATTGCGAGTTCAAGACCAGTCTGGGCTACAAAGTGAGCTCAGGGCCAGCCTGAACTGCATAGAGAGACCCTGTCTCAAAAAGACAAAAAATTTTAAAAAGAACATCAGAAATAAATTCCTATGTGAACTACTATGAAAATACCAATAGCACTTTCCAAAAAAGTCTTCGATTATCACACCTGAGGCAGCCTTCACACATGACAACAGCACATTCCATACGCACGCATCATTTACACTAACAGCACACGTCTTTTGCTTCCCTGGCTTTTTGTAGGACATACTTGACATCTCAGTGGTCTTGCTGTTTTGTCAGTAGGTGTTTATTAAGCAGTGTGTAGTTAATAGGAACATAAAATGCCAACAAACTATTAAATTCTTAATATGTACTGTGTGTTTTAGGATAGCAACATTTCACATCAGCTGTGTACTTACAAAACCTAAAACATCGAAAATTAAACCCAGTGTGAACTACAGTGTAAACACACAGAAGCGTACCACAGAAAATAATGTTTGCATCAACCGTCCCGCCCAAGGCAGTCTGCACATGACAACTGCTTGTTCCGTACACAAGTATCACACCGATAGCATGTATGTTTTGTTTTCCTGTCCCTTCCTGTGGGGCATAGTTGACATCTTTATTTTCCTGTTGTTGTAGTAGGTCTTTGTGATGCTGCCCCTGCCTGTTTAACTGTCAGCACACCAGTGTGCTCTACAACCAGGCAGAAACTCTTGGTTTTTCTGTTATAAATGATCTCTTATGAGCTCCAGTCGCAACTCTCTAAGAAAATTTCTCCATATTTTACACTATTTTCTTCGTAAACTATCAAAGTATTTATGCCACACATTCAGGATGGAGTAAAACACAACCACTGATCAATGCTTTGTGTTTCAAGTGACATCACAGCTGCTGCATAACTCATCCACAACATCTACTTCACATTTGGTTTTGTTGTTGGAAGTTTCCATTTCAGGCTTCCATTTTGTGAAGGTTCTCCATCAGTATTCCATCATGGTGAAATGTGGACATCAAGAGTACCAGTTTGCTTTTTCTTTGCCATATACAAGGCCAGTGTGGCCAATGTCATGTCTTTTTGAAATCCAGAGATTTATATACAATTCTGTTTTGAAATTGCAGCATTGCGTTTGGAATCTCTGCATACAATTCCTGTGCTGATCAGCTTGTGCTTCTGTTAGCAAATGTTGCATCAGTTGGAAATCGGTAAGCCAGTTGCTGAATGTCACATTCTGATTAGTCTGGGAGATGGGAGCAACAAGCCTATTCACAACAGCATTCAGTTTATTACTGTATGAATAAGGACCTGGTGGCTGAGTTCCAGAATAAATGTTTAAACTGAAAGCATAATACGTCTTCAGATTTACAAGAGCATAAATTTTCATGTTATAATTTGACCCATCACTTTTCCATAATTCTTTTACATTCCTGCGATCACCATGAGAAATCCCTGCGAAGTGCAGCAGATCTATGAATGCTTTCAGTTCAGCTAGTAAGGTGTCATAATAAATACATTTTTTGATATGGCTGTTGGTGCATACAGATGTTCTACTTGCACTTCAACCTTTGTGTCTTTCACAGCATCTGGTAGCATTTCATCTGATATAATATCCAACATTGAGCAGCCGTGTTGGCATTCTGTCCAATATGTTTCACTCCTGCCAAGAACTTCCCTATACTTTTGGACCTAGTTCTAACACTGGATCGTTCCATTTTCTTGCATGGCCATTTCACAACATTTTGGCCAGTCAAGTATGTACTCACATGCTGTTTTCTTTGTCATCTGAGTTAAGGAGGTCTGCATTTCCTGTGTCTGTATGACTTGATTCTTGCTCCATTTCACTGTCACAGGAACTTCAGCTCACATGGCCAGTGTCAAAGTCATCATCATCATCATCATCCACCCACACCACCCTTGTTATGAAAGTATGTATTTTACCATAGTGAATCATCTTCATCGTCCGAATGAGTAATCCGATGATTCACTTTTGATTCCTCCAAAACTTGCAAATCTTGTTTTTCATGTGCCATTGTACTGAATTGGGCTACTGCTACCAGAAAAATCAAAAGGAAACTTTTTTTCTCTTTTCACAAATCCTGGAGTGCTGTCGGTCTATTGGACCCTCTGTGATGCTCGGGTAAACATATGCAAAACCAGTTAAATGGAGGATAAAGGTGGGTCCAAACACTTGCACACGTGCACACTCCTTGCTGTTCGTCACCCCAAGTGGGTAAGCAGATTGCTTCCTGTATACTGCAGGGAAAGGTACTGACACACACAGCCAGGTGTTACACTAAAGGACAGATTTACAGTAGCAAGGTAAAGGATGAGCCCACTGAACCCAGGCGTATGTTCTAAAGCCACTAGGATTCAATCAAGGGTTACTAAGGCTCCCACTAGAATGATCCAAATTACCCGCCACAGGCTCCATCCCGAAGTGCTGTGCTCACTGTTTCCTCAGCACCTGCCCAGGAAGCTGTGTACACTCAGTTGTGCCCAAAGCATAGCACGGTGCGAAGCGCCGGGCACCTAAGGGGTCCCTGGCGGGGCGGCGTGGGGAAGCACTGCCATCACTTGCTCCCTCCCTTCCGAAGGTCTCTGCTGCCTGTTAGCCTTGGCCAGCTCTGCTCGCCCGGCCCCCGTCTGCGCTTGCCTGACACTGTCACCTGGGTCCTTCTCCTGCTCTTCTTCCGTCAGCCCACACCACGCGCCTGTGCGTTCAAAGCTGCTGTCGCCACAGCACAGTGAGATGCAGGCGTGGCGTGTGGTGGGCAGGACAGGTCTGCGATGCGTGGTCCGTGGCTCTGCAGGCTAACGGATCGCGACCAGCAGCTCACCCCAGCACAGAGCTACAGGTCGTCCATCAGCTGCAGGTCTCTGGGACTTTCTAAGGGAGAACACTAAGCTCTGCTGTGAGGGTGGGAGATACTGGGGAGGCCCTGTCCTGACGCACTTCTCCCCGGCTGTGCCCTGCAGCTAACGGAGGGGACACAGCCCCTGCACGTGCTTCACCCTTGTGATCGCCACTCACGCCCATTCAATTAACTATGTAGTAGTTGTTTATTTTAAAACTTCTCACTATGCAAGTTTAGAAAGTAAAAGCTAAAGTCCCTCCCTCACCTCTACTCTTGCACCTCCCACGTTTGGGGGTGGTAACTGCTACAAAGTGGGCATCTGGCAGAGCAGGGCCCGGTTGCATACACCTGCAGTCCCAGCTCTGCTGCAGGAGCTCAAGTTCAAGGCCAGCCCAGGAGACACAGCAAGACCCTATCTCAGGATAAAATAAGAAGGGCTGGGAAAGCAGCTCCACAAGCTCCTGGTTTCAATCCCCAGTACTAGAAGAAAAGAAAAACGGTAAATGGTGTGGTGCATGGCCCAGACCTGACCCCGGGATCAGTCCAGGTGGGAGCAGGCATTCACAGCAGCAAGAACTTGGACCAGCAGTCCCGCATGGCGGCACGGTGGCAGCATCAGCCCAGAGCCCTGGAACGGGGCACTGTGGGATAGGAGCTCCTACAGGCCAAGAACCCTTAGGGCCATACCATAGAGCAGGTGCGAGCGCTCCTAAGGTGCGACTCCCAGTCCATAGAAGAGCTGAGTTCAAACCCAGGTTAAGCCTGTGCCTTTTCCACTTTGCTACACTGGCATTTTCACTTTCTCTCATTTTTTTTCACCAAAAATATACTTTTCATCCACACTTTCAGAAATACAGTTTATCATTATTCAGGGGATAAGCAATAAATACAGTAAGATAGTACCTATCAGTCATGGGGGGGCAGGAAATGACTTTGATTTTTAAAACCAAACAAATAAAATCCTTTGAGGGGAAAAACCCTACGGCAACTCACAGGCTATTCGCCTTAGCACACTGGCAGCAGGCATGCGGACACCGCCGAGGGAAGTTTTGAGACATGTTTTCTTGACTCTCTCATGAGCTTGTACAAATCGGGTATTTTAAAAGTCTTTTCCTGACCACTTCCATTCCGTTGTTCGCTGTTCTTTCTTTTTAATTCATTCTGAATTCCCCATTCCACCCCGGCCCCCACAGCAGTGGCCTCCTCCTCTCTCCACGTCCTACTTGCAACCACTCCTCCTGAGAGCCGCCGGGCTTCCTTCCTCAGGAAGTGGTCCAGCTGGGCCCAGTGGCCCACGCCTGTAATCCCAGCACTCGGGAGGCTGAGGCAGGACAACTACTGGGAATTCAAGGCCTGAACTGCATAGTGAAACCCTGTCTCAAAAAGACACACACACACACACACACACACAAAGTGGCCCTGAGCTTCACTCATAGAAATCATCATTTACCCAGGATTTTGGGTGCTCAGTATTTCTCCTGGTTTCTCTGGTTAATTTGCCTGTGTCTTAATGTGATATCCTTTAATTGAAAAGATACACAGTGTGAGAGAACAACATGCTGAACGTTTAATCTCTTCAAAGTGACTCCAGTAAGACGCCTTGCCATGAAGCCCCTCCGGCTCCCCTCACTCCGCGCACACTCATCCCACCGCCCTGGCCAGGTCTGCAGCAGCTCTGCAGGCCTCTCTCCTGAGGGTCTTCGGCGGCGCTGTCCTGACTGCCTCGAGGTCCTGAATGGATGCAAAATGCTTCCCTCACAGGGGCACTGTGCCTTTGGGGAGGAGCCAGAGGCAGCGGGTGTCTAAGGTGGGCGAGGGCACCGGGGCAGATTTACCGGCTGCCCTTCTGCTGGCTGCGCGCCGCAGCAGCACTCACTGTGTTTTTGATCACAGCTTGTAAAGACGCTCTGCAGCTCGGACATTCAGAACTGCTTCACGAACTGGGAAGAACGCGGGGCTAGGGGTGTTCAAAGCAGGGGAAATTCAGGGCAATGTCTGTCACGGCGGAACGTTTCCGTGAAAGCGTGAACATTCGCCGTCCCTTTCCATTTCGCCTCGAGTTCCGCGCTCGGCGTGCACCGCGCCCTCGCAGCTGGGCGGGCCTGCCCCTCTGGGCAGACTGAGGATGCACGGGGCGAGGCGTCATCTCTTTACGTCCTAAGAACTCGTCAGCCAGAGCAGTAACACCTGCAAAAGATCCCGGCTCTCTTAAGTCGTTTCCAAATTCTTAAGAACTGCCCAAAACCCACCCCGCGCATCGCGCGCTGCACCCGCCAGGGGGCGCTGGTAAAGCAGCGCGGCTGAGAAGGCCCGGAAGCGCGGCGCAGGGCGGGGCGGAGGAGAGAACCGCTTTGACTCTAAATCAGGAACCAGACAAGGATGTCCACTCTCACCACTCCTATTCAATATAGTTCAGGAAATATTAGCTACAGCAATCAGACAAGAGAGAGAAATAAAAGGAATAAGGATAGGAAAGGAAGAAGTCAAATTATCATTATTCGCAGATGACATGATACTCTACATAGCAGACCCCAAAAACTCCATCAAAAGGCTTATGGATTTAATAACCAAATTTAGTAGCACAGCTGGATACAAAGTTAACACCCAAAAATCAATAGCATTCCTGTACACAAGCAACAAACAGACAGAAATTAGGGAAACCACGCCCTTCACAATAGCATCTAAAAAGATGGAATACTTAGGAATCAATCTAACAAAAGAAGTAAAACATTTATACACTGAAAATTATAGTGCTCTGAAAAAAAAGATCAAAGAGGATAACAGAAAATGGAAAGATATTCCTTGCTCATGGACAGGAAGAACCAACGTTGTGAAAATGGCCATACTCCCCAAACTGTTGTACAGATTCAATGCAATCCCAATTAAAATACCATTAGTATACCTCACAGATCTAGAGAAAACATTCCTAAAGTTCATCTGGAACCAGAAGAGGCCTAGAATAGCAAAAGCAATCCTGGGAAACAAAGGAAAGGCAGGAGGCATCACAATTCCTGACCTGAAATTATATTACAAAGCTACTATGATAAAATCAGCATGATACTGGCACAAAAACAGACCTGAAGATCAATGGAACAGATTAGAAGATACAGATACAACTACAAACACATTCAGGCACTTTAACTTCAACAAAGGGGCCAAACATGTTCAGTGGAAGGAAGATAGCCTCTTAAATAAAAAGTGCTGGAAAAACTGGCTTTCCACATGCCAAAGACTAAAACTAGACCATGTCTTTCATCATGCACTAAATTAAAGTCAAAATGGATCAAAGATCTAAATATTAAGATAGAAACACTAAATTTATTGGAAGAGAAAGTAGGTAAAAGTCTTGAAGACATTTGGATAGGCAGAGAGTTCATGAACAAAAACCAAACTGCATGGGAAGTACTTCAAAGAATCAGTAACTGGGATTTCATCTTACTGAAACATTTTTGCACATCTAAAGAAATCACCAATAGAATAAAAAAAAACCCATGAATTGGGAAAAAATTTTAGCCAACTGTCCCTCAGACAAAGGACTTCTGTCTAGGACACATACAGAATTTTAAAAAATCAGGTCCCCCAAATTCAAAGACCCAATCCAAAAACAGGCATCTGAGATGGATACGTATTTCTCAAATGAAGAAATACTAATGGCAAATAAGTACACAAAAAAAAGTTCAACATCATTAGTCATTTGAGAAATGCAAATTAAAACAACGCTGAGATTTCATCTCACCCCAGAAAGAACGGCTATCATCAAGAAATCAACCAATAACAAATGTGGCAGGGTTGTGAGGGTAAAGGAATCTTCTCCACTGTTGGTGGGAGTGTAGACTAGTGAAACCACTGTGGAAATCAGTATGGCAATTCCTCAAAAAACTAGGATTGGAGGTCCTATTTGACCTAGATATTCCCCTTCTGGGTACCTTCCCAGAACAATTAAAAACATCATACCACAACGATATATGTGCACCCATGTTTATAGCAGCACAATTTGTAACAGCTGGATCTTGGAAACAACCCAAATGCCCATCAACCAAGGAATGGATAAAAAAGATGTGGTGTTTTTATACAATGGAGTAATAAAGAAGGGTAAACTGGAGACTTTTGTAGGTAAATAGATGCCACTTGAGACCATACTGGTAAGTGAAATAAACCAGACGCACACGTGTAAGCATCATATTGTCTCACTAGTGTGAGAAGCTGAAAGAGCAAATAAGATCCAAAATGTGTAACAGATATTGTAAAATGGGAAGTAACTTCAAAAGGAAAGAAACTGGAATGCGGGAATGGAGAAAAGCAGAAAGGGAAAAGTTATAGTTATACTACTAATTTCTCTTAATTCATTGAAAAGAAACGCTAGTGATACTATTGTTTGGACAAGTGAATGCCTATGTCTTGTACTCTGAGTAAAGATAATACTATGCAACGTATTAACCGTTGTTCCGCGCCTATTGTTTTGACATTTTAATTCTTTTCCCTTTAAAATAAAAGGAAGGCAGTGCTTCAGTAGGTCACTCCGTGAGTAGGGACTGCGAAGCTTCTCGGCTGGCCCAGCCTGAGACATTCTCCAGAACAGCCCTGGCAAGGGGCGCGCTTCGGGAGCACCTCGCAGAAGCACTGCACCTCGCGCCTGGGGAGCCTCCTTCCGCGCTCCGAAAGGACGCAGTCTCCGCCGGCTTGGGAGCCGCGGCCGCCCCCGTTCTGCGGAGGTCCGCGCGGCTGAGCCTCGCTGCCCCCGCCGCCGCCCCGGCACGCAGGTCTTTACGCCCGCTGCCCCGCAGCTGCGTCCGTTATCTGCGGCTCCCTCGCAGCTCGTTTGACTCTTCCAGGCCACTGTCCCCTCTCCGAGGGCTTCGGTAAACAGCGCAGGACACAGCCGCGTCCCCCTGCGTGGCCTCCGGGCCGGAAAGGGACATTCCCGGGGCCAGGACAGCGGGGTCGGAGGACGCGCGGCTGTGGACCGCGCAGCGCGAGCAGGGCGCCTGTCCCGGCGGTAACAGAGGACTGGGAGGAGAGGAGGAGACGCGGAGCCCCAGCGTCCGATAGGAAGCCGGCGTGGGACGGGAAGAGAGCGAGGGACGCGGCGAGGCTAAGGACGTGGAAATACAGGTTCCCAGGGCAGAAAGCAAAGGCGGGGCGGCGGGGGCGGAGGGAGACGGCTCTCGAGAACTACAGTTCCCAGGAAGGCCGGGAGTACGTGTGACACCTCCGGCCGGATGTGAGGCGATCTATGGGCGGATGTGAGCCTGACCCTTGCCAGATATGAAGCTCTCCCTGGCCAGATGTGAGGCAATCCCGGGCGGATGTGTGGCAGTGAGGGCGGATGTGAGGCAGTCTAGGACGGATGTGAGGTATTCTGGGGCGGATGTGAAGGAGCCTCTAGGCGGAAATGAGGCTGTCCCGGGCGGATGTGAGGCGAGCGCGCGCCGCGACCTTTGAAGGGAAGAGGAAGTGTTCGGCGTCTCGCGGCCCGAGGAAGGGTTGGCGAGGTGGGGGCGCGGCCGGGACCGCCGGGTCGCAGGGTCGCAGGGCCTGGAGTCACAGGCAGTGGCCACTTCCGAGGCGGCGGCCGGGCGCGGGGAGGGGTCGGCGACGGCCCCCGTCATCTCGACTCCTCTGGCGACTCACCCGCAGAGGGAGCACGATGTCCGCCGAGGTTCCGGAGGCGGCGTCCGCCGAGGAGCAGAAGGTGAGCGTGGCGGGAACGGGCGCGGAAGGGCGCGCGGGGTCCCCAGCCTGTCTCTGAGGTGCCATGCGGGGCGCCCCGAGTCTGGGCCGGAGCCGGAGCGGCTCTGAACCTCACATCGCTCGAGAAGTTCGCGTTTCCGCCAATCGGGCCGCGGCGTAGACTCGATCGGGCTTCGGGTCCGGAGTCGCACCCGTCTCCAGCCGCGAACTCGCGGACGACCGCCGCCCTGGGGCCGCGCGGGAGCCGGGGCTCCGAGGACAGGTCTCGTGGGAGCGCGGATGTGCTGCGATCGCGGCGGCCGCGCTCTGGCGTAGGGACGGACCGGTACTGCCCGTCACATCCTTCCTTCCGCCGCCCTGCCCTCCGGGACCCGGGGCGGGCCGGGAGACGGGAAGGTCCGCGGCGGCTGTCTCCGGAACCGGGATGGGCGGAGGAAGCTTCTCTTACAGACCAGACAGCGTCACAAAACAAACACCGCAAGCATGGCTGATGCTTGGACTCCGGGCCCTCATGCGGGGGGAGTTAGCCCAGGGTCCTAAACCCAGTCCGTGTGTGCTAACTCTTCCTGAGTCAGAGGGTGCTGCTGGATTACATGCTAAGTAACTAAAGAGACAATAATAGCATAAATAATAGGCCAGCAATATTCCAGTGAAAGTTACTGGACTTTTTTTTAACATTTTGCAAAAAGAAAGATGGGCTATCGATGCAAAAAAATTGTATATACAGTTTAAGGATTGCACCTTTAACAGTAATTTTAAATCACCTGGGGCCTGGGAATATAGCTCAGTGGCACAAGCGCCTGCTTGGCAAGCTCAAGGTCCAGAGTTCCATTCCTGGTACCCACCCACCCCTGCCCAATTTTAAATCACCTATTGATTGTAAAATATTTATTGCATTGTTCATTATTGCTTCAGATTTAGAACTCAGGAAATAACAAATCCACAGTTATGCTGTCTTGGCTTAAACACTGAAATCAAGGGCACACAGTAGCGTGCTGAGTAATTTTCTTTAAGATTCGTTAGCCTATCGTGAGAGTACAACGTGCCAGTTTCGTGTGTAAAGGCTTTCATTGGAACAGCCTAGTGTATTTCATAATACTACGGATAGCTTGGATGTTTTGTCTTAACGATTGTTTCTATTAAACGCTTATTCTGGGTCCTCAGTTTTAGTTGCTGTCATTAATACCAAGCGTGTTGGGCATATAGTGTCCTTTTCTTGAACTGAAGTTTGGCTGCAGATGTCCAGTGCTGGCAGCCTAGATGCCAGCCCAGACGGGAGGAAATGTGCACAGTCATGCCCGTGCCCGATGGGCCAGATCACCTGTTTCTTCCATTTGGAAGAACAGTTAGGTGACCGGGAAAATTAGGTTATTGTCTGTGTACCTAATTGACCTTTCAGTCAAAGCCAAGGTACTCAGCTAAAAATACTTGCATGGTTTATAGTGGGTTAGCCTGTTGCCTCAGAAGACTTGAGGTGACAAGTTGCAGCCGTCAGGCAGTCAGAGCCAGGTCGCTGTCTCTGTGCCTGCGTAGTGTGCACCCCCTGTTAAGGGAGGAGTCAGGCAGGCCTCTGTTGGGTGTTAGGGTAGTAATTAAATATGCACAAACAAATGGCTCTCATCCCTTAACTTTTATATCACTCTGAAAGTAAAATACAGATGAGACCATTTCATGTGGCTGGTATTTTGCCAAACCCAGTCCCCAAGGTACTGAGTGTAGGGGAGCAGTGGCTAAAAGGAGGCCTTTAGGGAGCATGGCAAGTCGACTCCCCAAGGCCATGTGGTGACTCAGTTTCCTTAAGAGTGAGCTCTGAGGTCACTCGACTTCCTAGAGTCACAGATAAAGTTTCGTTTTAAACTGGCTGCGTTTTCTCACTGCCCTCAACGGTTAGAATGTCCCTGAGCCTGCATCAAATGGATGCTCCAGCCATAAGCCTGTGACGCTGCTCAGAGAGGAAAGTGTTCAGCACTGCACAGTGCATGTGTTGCTCTTCTCGATGACCACTGAGCAGAAACAAAACGCCAAGGAGTTTCCGAAGGGACCTCGTGGCTCTGTCAGCTGTGAATTCGAGTTCAGGAACCCTGAGCTTGGAGGGGCAGCGTACTGGTTCCAGGGGTGGAAAGCAGGGCTGCGTGAATGCAGGTCCGCACTGTGGGTCTCCACCTCCAGAGCACCCAGCACAGGGCTCAGCAGTGCTCTGGAGCTATGCGCCGAAGGTCCTCCAAGCCTTTCTCACGAAGCCTTGCCCTAGTGCCCACCTTGGACAAATGGCAGTGAAACAAGAGATCGGGCTGGTAACGTGGTCTAGAACCTCAGCTTAGGCGCAGCTTGGAAAACCACAGGGGCGTGCGTGTGTGTGTGTGTGTGTGTGTGTGTGTGTGTGTGATGTTGCAACTTGTAATTTTTGAAAGGATCCAGTAGTAGGTTTTCTAGAGGTTATACTACTCATCGGACTAAGTTAGTTGGGAAGGTAATAGAACTGTCAAGTAATACATTGCTATCAGTAAAACTACGCGTGGGCCTTTGTGCCTGGTGGAAGGGGAAGCGAACTCCCATACTGCTGCAGTGGTTTAGTACAGAACTGAATCCTGCTCCTGCTCCACAGTCTCAGAGCAGCTCAGGACTGGGATGGCAGTCGCCAGGCATCAGAAGGCTGAGGTCGGCTCTGGAGCCACCTGATTGGTGACCTCAGGCAAGTCCGGGGCGTCCTCTGCACAACGGAGCAGGTTTGTCAGCAGGACAATGGTCACAGGCTGGAGTCCAGCATTTCGCCTGGCACCCAAGACCTTCGCCGTCTCCTCCTGGTCTCCACGCTCCTCCGCCCCCGCCCACGCTGCTCCTGAGCCAGGCTCTTCACGGTGCCCTCTTCGTCCCTCGTGTGTCAAGAACCTGGAATCTTCCCAGTCCCAGCAATCACTAGTGCAGGATCTTGGCTGGAGCAGGTAGCTGTCCTAACTAGGATCAATTTAAGTTAGACAGGACAGGAGGGGCTGGGGATTTAGCTCAGCGGCAAAGCACCTGCCTGGCAAGTGCAAGGTCATGAGTTCGGTTCCCAGTACCAGAGAAAAACCAAAAAAAAAAAAAAAAAAAAAAAAGACAGGACAGGACAGGAAATAGTGATTTCAATAGTGAATCACAAATAGTGATTTAAATGAGATAGGAGTTACTGTTTCATGCTGAAGCATCCTCAGGGAGCCTAGCCCAGGACTGGGAAGTGGCCTCAGGGTTTAGGGACCAGGCTCCTTCTGTTCCCAGCACATCACAGGTTTAGAAAACTTGCAGTTAATACAGGCTGTTCCTGGGGAAGTTTTGGTACCACCTTTGGACCCAGAAGACTCGACCAAGCTTTCTGGCTGTGCTGAGAGTGAGCCAGTGTGCACCTGGCCTGCCTGCCTGTGCCAGGGTTCTCGGGGTGTGGAGGGAGGAAGCCTGGAAGCAGGAGACCACCGTGGCTACTCTCAGCAGTTTGCTCCCACCAGCCGTTCAGCATTGTTCTGCTGTCTGCAAGACCTAAGTGCGAGACTTGTGTGCATTCCTGAGCCTGCAGGTCCTGCTGAAATGGGGAAGCACATGGCTCTGCTCCTTCAGTAGACTTTGATGGGTAGGCAGAGGGGTTGGTAGCACAGGTGCCCCCCACCCCCAGCCCATGCCTTCGGAATGGCCGAAGGCTTTCACTGCTGGTGCCAGAAAGGTCAGCACCCAGACAGCATCCCTCAGCCCCTAGAAGATACAAAGTCCTAATTACTCGAGTGTTCTGGTATGTGTGTTCGTAACTGACAGCCCATGAGCAGAATGTCTCAGTGCACATGCTGAAGTTAGCACTGATAGGCATTAGGCCCCATGCTGGATACAGAAGAGACTAAGAAAATACTTCCTGGGAAGTGTGTACTTGTAAAGCAGGTACCTCATTTACAGTACTGTTCTGACATTTCTGGATTTTGTTTCTTTGGACTTTGTTCCCAGAGCTGAAAGTTCAGAACTGTGACAGTGCTTTTCCACAACACCCTGGGAGTTACTGGCTGAGGACCTACTCAGCTAAGTAAACCACCATAGCCTGGCCTGTTTCTAAAATGTAGCACAGTTTTCTTATCAAGTAAAATTCAAAACCAGACTTGGTTTTGTATTTTGTATTTTGTTTTTCAAGACAGGGTCTCATATAGTCCAGGTTGGCCTTGAACTCCCAGAGATCTTCCTTCCTCAGCCTCCCGAGTACTAGGTTTACAGGTGTGCACCACCAAGCCCGGCAATCCAGATTTAAATTTTTAAAAATATTTTCTTAGGTTTGTTCTTCTTTCTCCCTTCTATTGATCCTTGTTGTAGCTTTGTTTTCTACTTTATTAATTTCTGTTGATGTTTTCTCCATTTCCTTTGAGTTCTTTTCTTTGCCTCTTTATTTTTTGGTGGAGCTGATACTCAGACCTTTCTGTTTAGTCAGTTCCCCTTAAACACTTTTCATATGTCTTTAACTAGACAAAATGTAAAATAAGTACTATAAACTTCTAAATGATAAAAGGCCACATAACACCTAACTCTAAAAATGTTTTGATGGTATACAGCATTTTTGTTCTCTAGCTTACAAGTTTTGATAGTTCTCGCTATTAGGAAGATCCCATGACTTCTCTGTAACAGAATTAATAGTTTGTGACTTGCAGCTGTTAGAGATTTCTACTTATCTCATGTATTGACTTTAACCTAATGAGTTGCCCTCATAGACAGTAGCTTGGGGAAGTGGTGGAGGTTGCTTTACAGCCTGGTGTTGAGTCAGGTGCTTCATGGGCGCGTGGGAAGGCAATGGATTCTCTGGTTGGTAAACACAGAATTGAACTCAATTATTGTTGCTATTTTTGCTTTACCTTTTCTGTGTGTTATTTTTGCTATTAATAATTAAGAAAGATGTGTAGAGTTTAGTGGTGGTGAGTTACTCCCTGCAGTTTACTCTCTGCAGTTGTGAAGAGCTGTAGAATGACGAGGCTATTTTGTGAAGAGTGAATATTCAGATCTTCTCTACTTCTGATACTGACAGAGGCACCCGGGCATTTTGTGTCCCCCACCCTACCTCTCTCTGCTCTCCTGTGTGCTACTACCGAGCCACATCCTTCCTTGGCCTTTTGTGGTTTTTGTTTCCAGACGGCTTCTTTAGGTTGCCAGGCTGGCTGCGCTCCAGCGTGGGACGCGCCTGCCCCGTCCACCTTCCGCTGGGCTTGCAGGTGTGCACCCCGGGCCTCGCTTCCGATCTGAACAACTGAAACTTGGAATCCAGCTGGGAAGCAGCACTCGCAGGAACTCAGGGCTCACTGTGTTGCGCAGGGTGGCCTCAACCTCGTGGGCCACAGTGATCTCTGGCCTCAGCCTCCTGTGTAGCTGGACCCATAGGTCACACTGCAGTCACTTGAGTTGGTTCTTCTAGGAAAAATGAATCCACCCTAAATCTAAAGGGCCTTTTCAGCTATCTGTGCTGTTCATGTTTTATCAGTAAACTGCTGGGACGTGACCAGACATGCAGCCCAGGGAGGCACACAGCAGCTGTGCCCTGCCTGGCCACCTTCCTACCCCCAATTGGCTTTAGATGTCTGTCATGTCTTCAGCTTAGTTGACCTTATGTGGGGTGGTTCTAAAACTGTAAGCAGAGTCGTCCGTGGCAGAAGCACCCTCGCAGAGCTCCAGAAGGAGGCCTGGCCACACTGCAGACTGCCCACTCAGGAGGCCACATGCTGGCGGCACGTGGGCTTCGTTAGACTGTGGTGACTGGGCAGCAGTTGACTTGCTGAGGCTCTTAGGGTGCATTCATGATGCCCCAAGACAGAAGTGAAAGTAGGAGCAGTGTTTTGTTTTTTTGTTTTGTTTTGTTTTGGTTTGGTTTGGTTTTTTTCCCGGTGTCAGGAATCGATCTCATGACCTTGCGCTTGCCAGGCAGGCGCTGTGCTGCTGAGCTAAATCCCCAGCCCCAGGAGCAGTGTTTTATGTCACATACCTCAGTGACCTCTTTGGGACACACCCTTTATATTAGTCACTTTCTTGTTGCCAGGACAACTACCCAACAGTCAAAACTCAAAGGAGGAGAGTTTTATTTTGGCTCCTAGTTTCCATGAGTTCCATCCGTGGGGAGCCAGGGTGTGACAAGGACAGCTGGGGCTGGGGATTTAGCTCAGTGGCACAGCACCTGCCTGGCAAGTGCAAGGTCGTGAGTTCGATTCCTGGTACCGGAAGAAAAACAAAAAGAAACAGACAAGGACAGCTGCTCACTGTGTGGCCCCAGGAAACGGGAAGAGGGGAGCGGGTACAAGAGCACACCCCTCCAAGGCACGCTCCCCAGCCAACAGGCGGGGGAGGCTTTCGAGGGACATTTCAGTAACAAACAGCCAGTCTTGGCATGAGTGCCAGAGCTCACCCCCACTGTTCTAGACCATAATATTAAGTCAAGTAGCAGAGCCCCGAGACCTAAACTCTGTCTCTGGCCAAGCACATAGTTCAGGGTTGGGAGGTTCCTGGGAGTAGGAGTTGTGGCCACTGTGAAAATTCCACAGATGCAGGAACTGCAGAGTACAAGGGGGAAGTCGGACCCGGGCGGAAAGGATGTGCCCACGGAAAACAACATTTGACAGCTGCACTTTTCTTCTCGAAATCCCCAGGACAGAGGAGGTGGAGCAAGGTACCACGGAGCTGTTGAAGATGAGGAAAGATTTGACAGCACGTAAAGTGAATAAATATTAAATGTGGATGTAATTTTGAGGAAAATATTTTATCAGTTCCTAGATAAATAATTTTCTAAGAGCAGTTGGTTTGACATTTGTGGGTTTAACATTCGTGCTTTTGATGATTCCTAAGTAACCAGGAGGGGTTAGGTGTGCATAAAGGAGCCCGCTGCTTGGCCGGGAGGCCTCGCTGGCAGCCGGCCTGCAGGCGGCACAGAGGCACTGTTTCCTCCACTCGTCTTCCCCCACAGTGCTTGCTAGTGCAGTGCAATGCTGCTTCCCCGAAGTGCAGCCTTTTGAAGAATGTACACTGAATCAAGACTCAGGATGGAGATAAATAGGCTGAAGACAGTGGCAGTCTTGTCACAAAACAGATTTTGATAAAAAGAATGGCGCCTTTGACATGAACAGTTTGTCATCTTAAACATGGAAGAAAGTCATGCAATAAAATACCTAGATGTATGAGGACTGATGAAGATGTTTGCCTCCTTTACAAATAGTAAGGTCTTCTGTGTTAATTTAGCCATGAAGAGTAAGCTGGTCGGTAGGCTGCTGTTAATTTGCAGTAAAGCATCTAAGGAATTTCAAATCATATGTAATTTTGGGTAAATAGAAAATCAGAAAGATCTTTTAGATTTGAGCAGATAATTCTCTAAATATAGACAAAGAGCTGAAGAGTTCCATAGAAGGTGACTAACTATAAATGTGTTCTACATGACTGGAAAGTAACGGCAAGACTTTGGAGCTGAGCTGTCTTGGTATTTTTATCCAGTGTGTGGGGTGTTACACATGCATCACAGCTATAATCGAGCTCTCACATGGATCGGTTGAAAAACAAGACCAAGGCATCTTAAGGGCTCCTGTGCCTGATTCTTAGTCAGAGGCTGCATCACCTGCCGTGAACAGCTCAAGTCACAATCCAGATATTAAAAGGTGAATTATTTTAAAAACCTGAATTGTAATAGAAAAGTAACTTCTTTAAAATTATTTCAGGAAATGGAAGATAAAGTGACCAGTCCAGAGAAAGCGGAAGAAGCAAAACTAAAAGCAAGATATCCTCACCTGGGACAGAAGCCTGGAGGTTCTGATTTTCTAAGGAAACGATTGCAGAAAGGGGTAAGTTGTGTATGACCTCCTGTGCCGGTTAAGATGGTAAAAGGATGTCTGCTTGTTTAGTTTCTGCTTACTGTGTGTGTGTGTATGATATTTTCTTTAATATTTTATATTTTTCATACCATAAACAAGTACGGAAAGACTCTAGAACTCTAATGTTTTAAGTTACAAATTATTTCAAGCATGTACCATAGTTCAGATAATGATAGAACCCATGTTCCTACCATCTGTTTAATATGTTAATAATTTGCCACATTTACTTGAGTTTTATCTTTATAAGAAAAGAAATGTACATAGAATGAAACTTTCCTTGTGATTGACTTACATCCTCCTTCCTCCTTCTCTCCAAAAACAGCTGCTGTTGAGAAGCTGGTGTTTAGCTTGCTGCCCATAGTTTTAAACTTTTTCCTATTTTAAAGGTGATTACCACAACATCCAAAGATTGAAAATATTTTTTATTTGGGTGAAATAATGATGTATAAATTCCCTCTGATGAATGTTATCATTATGTATTTCTAAAATATGGCAATAAAATTAAATTTTAAAAATAGAAAAAAAGAAATAATCATATATAAAAGCTCAGCTTACCTTCTTTAGCTAGTATTTGTACAAATTCATTCCAGTATAACATATTATAATTTAGTATATAAATTGCTAAATCTTTTTTTTTTCTAAAATCTTTCCTTTTGTTCAGGTAGAAGCCATTATTTCTCAATGAAATGTGATGATGCTACATTTCTCCTCTGTTTCCTTTGTTCTGTTACAAAAAAAAAACGAGACGGTTCCCTCATCAGCTTAAGCACATTTGAATTACTAGATAGGGATCAGGTAAAGGTAAAATAATTATATTTGGGAGAATGAAACGTCATATCAGGTTTCTTCTTAAAACAATACCTAAATATGTAAGCATCCACTGCTTGCATACGAAGAACGTTTGTGTGTTAAGAGTCAAAAGGTAGAGTGGTATTTTATACTCTTGCATGAAATAAGAACATTCACAACTTTGAAATATTAAGGGAACACACTCCTTATATAAAAATGTAAAACCTTGGCACCATGAAATATCCAGGGAGGAAATTATTACTGAGAAACAAGGAATTTTTAAATATATATTTTAAAAATACATTCCTAAAGGATTTTAACACAGGAACTATAATCAGTAAACAGAAAAAGGGAGAAAAAAGAATGTTTATCCTGGATAGAAATAAGTGAAGTATAAATTATATCATATAGTATATGTACAAGTAAATTATGAAAATATTTAAATAATATTTCCTGGTGTGGTTGAAATTGAGTAAAACTGACACGCATTTGATTTTGTATAAACATTCAGAGTCAGTCTTATTTTGGAAAGTGGTATTGATCAAAATTTATTAAAATGTTCACATTCTTTGAATGAATAATCTTATGGATTAATGTAAGGATATAATTCAATATGTCTTCAAGTTTAAACCTTTTTCCTTGTAGCTTCAACTGTAATTAAAAGTCTCTTCAGTACTCCACAGCAGAGAAATGGTTACATAAGTTGTAATAAACCTACAGAAGTGGAATACCATATGGTTATTTAAAAGCATGATTGTGAAGCCCCTAATATAGGAATAAGTGGAAAAAGCAGAGTGAGACCTGTTCATCTGGAGTCTCGCTGTGTGGACAGTGCATGACCAAGTCCAGGTAGAAACCCTCCACGGGCATGTTAGTTGTGAGCTACATCAGGTACGGTCTTCCTAACTCGTGAACTACTGTTCGGACAGACCTGACTGTCACCGTTAGTGTTGAGGGATCATCCATCTTTAGCCCAAATGTGGCAGACGGGTTCCTTCCAGGGTCGGGGCTGTCATCCTTGTTGTTTTCTTCCAGCTCCAGCTCCCTGTGGCTTTGTGTCTTCACATTAGTGCCTGTGTGCATTGTGTCCTGGGGTTGGTGCTCTAGGCACAGATAGTTGAAAATGAAGAAAAGGCACTTGGATCAAATAATTACATAGAATTTGAGAAGTAGCTCTTGAATGATTTGATTCTGTATTGTGCCAGAATGTCACTGAATACTTTTTTTATGTGTATATACTAGGAAAATGAAGCTTTGGTTTGTTTCTTTGTTGATTTGTTTGTGTTTTTAAGTCTGAGTCACAGGGCTTGGGTTTTGATATTCCTCTGTTACGGTCATAGGTAAGCTTGGTAAATTAACGTCTTTCAGTAGTTTCTTCATCATGAGGACTAGATAGGATTTTTTTTAGTAGGTCCCTTGATGTCACTGTCCTCAGTGGTGTGATGGGTTAATGTTATATAATATTATAAGGCTTTCACAGCAAGCCCATGCACACTGTGACCTTAGAGACCATCAGAGTAGGAAGGCAGTGCACAAGCAGTCTGGCAGTGTTTTTCTGTATTTTTGGAATTTGTGAAGTTCCCTGCTTAGACTCTGTGTGTTGACCTCAATATGAAAAAATAGCTAGTTCAGGCTGGGGATTTAGCTCAGCGGCACAGCTCCTGCCTGGCAGGCCCAAGGTTGTGAGTTCGATTCCCGGTACCAGAAAAAAAACAAAAAAGAAAAGAAAAAATAGCTAGTTTATCTCAACTTAGAGCATTTTTTTTTTTAACAAAGTAATATTTTAACTGTCTAGGTTTTTGTTTTGTTTTGTTTTTGTTTTTAACAAGAAAGCATAACTTTTTTCACTGACATCCTAGTCCTGATAGTGTTTGCTGATCTCTGTGAGGATTCACTGTCCTTTCTAGTAGTGTTCTTTCAGGTTAGCACTAACTGTCAAGCATGATGTTAGTTTTATCTCTAGCCACACTCAATAAATTTAATTTCTTTCTTCCAAGCAGAATAGCCTGATCTGCAGTTGAGATCCTCTTCTGATGAACTTCTACTTACACTATAAAATAATTGTCTTTAGAATCCGAGTTGGTTACATTGGGAGAACCTGCCTAAAATTGCATGGTGCTTTAAAGTTCTCTGTGGACTTTGGTGAGAAGTTCCCCGGGCCGTATTCTTCTCTAGAGGCTGCTGGACTCAGGAGCAGCTCTTTAGAATACAGTGCATCCATGTTCTGTGAGGTTTTTTTCTATGCACATTTGAGAATGCCGAGCAGAAACAAAGCTAGAGCGAGGCCTGACAGGCCCAGTCAAGGTTTCCTTGTGACTGCTCAGTAGGACCCGGGGGTGACACATAGAAAGCACTTTCTAACTTTAGAGCCTTTGGCTGGAGATCAGATGTGGCTTATCAGAAAATAGTCTCAAGAAGAAGTGGCCAGTGAGGCCCCTGCCTGGACCACCCAACAGTCTTCCCTGGGCTGCAAGTTCCTAGCTCCTTCATCTCCTGTCAACCGAGGCAGCCTTGAAGAGACTCCATTGTTCCTTCCTGTGCTGTTGCCTTCTGCCAGGCCGGGACTGGGGCACAGTCACTTCTTCAGAGCACCCCGGCACCTTATAATTCTTATTTAAATTTTAACCTTTTTTTATAATTGTCAAAATCATATATATTTAAGGTGTACATCATCACATTTTGAGATGCACATTGTGAAGTGATTATTATAATCAAGCTAGTAAACATCTATCGCCGCAATATTTACTTATAATAATTCTTAATTCCACTTAGAAACATTTTATAATAGCACAAATCAAAAAAACTATTAAAAAAAGAAAATTGTGTTCATCATCTCCATCCAAAAGTAAAACAATTAAATGAACACCATTCTAGACAATTTCTTGGTATACATTAGTACACTTTTTAAAAAATTGGTAATGTACGTTCTGTTTCACTTAACAGGAGGGTAGTGGACCTCTTTTCCTCCCAAGAAGTTCATATCAACACCATGGTCTCTTAACTATATAATTAACAACTCTTTCTCACCTCCATGTCCCTCCCTTGCTGCCCCTCTTCCTTCCTGCCATTTGTCTAGTGCTAGTCTCCCTTCTACTTTCATGGCATTTTCTGTGGCTCCCACACACTAGGGAAAACGCGCAAGCTTATTTCACTTAGCATGAGGCTCACCACTTCCATCTGTTTCCCTGTAGGTGGTGTAATTCTGCTAGATAATGCTCCCTTGTGTCTATACCACATTTTTTTTTAGCCATTCATCTGTTGATGGCCACCTAGGCTGACTCCGTATCTTGTGAATTGTGCTGCAGTGAACCAGGTATACAGTTGTCCCTGTAGTATGCTGACTTGAATTCCTTCTGGTGTAACCAGTTTGTGGTATAATTGGATCAAATGGTAGCTCTCTTTTTAGTTTTCTGTTTTTGTTAGTCTTGTATTCTCACAGTGGTGTCATCATCGTTCCTTTATGTGACCGCTACTCGTCTCTTACACAGTGCCTCATTGTAGCAGGCACTCAGGCAAGCAAGCTTGTCTGCTTTTTCTCAGGAATTCATTAGATTAACTATGTTAAGGTCAATCTTTAGTTCGTATTTTAGTGACTTGCTCCTCTAAGTAAAAAGCAGAATAGTTGTACTTACTCAGTGCCTTTTGTGAAAAATGGAATAGGATAGAGCTGTGGGTTTACTTCTTCCATTGCTCGAGCGTTTATGTTTTTGATTTTTATTTGAACTGCCTTGCTTTGAGAAAATAAGATTTAAATTCTGGCAGAAAAGCTTATCCTAGCTGATAGAGAGTACCAACAACTAAAATAATTGGGGGTGATTTGGCATATGCTTAATGCAGATTGGTGAATTATGTTTCTATTTTCAAAATCAATTTAGCAAGACTTTCCACCCTGGTGGTTCTATTAGTAAAAAGATTCACATCGTACTGAGTACACAACTTTCTATTCTAAGATAACACTTGATGTCCATCTTGAGGGTCTCGAATTAGAACCTAAAAAGGTTCTCTTCTTTGACTCCTCAGCTGTTAACTTATGCTGGGAGTCAGTACAAAGGCATGCTGTTTTAACTGACTATTCAATTTGTTCAGGCTAACTCATTTGATACTGGCTGTGTAGAGTCACATCTGCATCTAAAATTGGTCTGATGTATACGAAAGCTTTCATACTAATCTGAGGTTTTTGTTTTTGTTTTTGTAGCAAAAATATTTTGATTCTGGGGATTACAACATGGCTAAGGCAAAGATGAAGAACAAGCAACTGCCTACTGCAACCCCGGATAAGACCGAGGTCACTGGTGACCACATTCCCACTCCACAGGACCTTCCTCAGCGGAAACCATCCCTTGTCACAAGCAAGCTGGCTGGCTGATTAAAAGAGCTAAACTGCATGGATCTTCTAATTCCCTTTGTTCCTCCTTATCTGTTACTTACCCACTTTATACTTTCTTTCATTCACTAAGTCATTTGAAACTGACAGCTTTGGAGGTAGCGGTAGGGCATAGACTGTGTAGAAGTTCTGAGTAGTTTACCAGTGCACTGACCAGGAGGACACATTGAGCAACACAAGTCATCTACTTGAAAATGGCTGTACATATCACCTAACCCCTAGTGTAGAGCTGGTTCCAACAAGTAACAAGCAAGTTCTACAAGTCTGTTTTTGCTTCTCCTTCCTTCACCTTAGTGCTAGCTTGTATGTAAGTTCCATTTAACATAACCTGTATTGTATGATTTCTTCTGAATTTTCCTTTTGGATTTTGTAAAACAAGTTTAAGATTACAGGTTAGAAGAAAGGTCACATAATCAAACACGAAGAGGTGGGAACCCTGTAAGATTGGCGTGAACTTGAATGGCCTCAAACCTGTTTCAGCTTTACCAATGGCATTTCACTTGGGCAATATTTGCCCTTCCGGTGTGACTTCTGTGACTTCAGTGCTTACCAGCTGCCACTGAAGCCCGCATTCTTCTCAGTTCTGTAGCGTCGGAACACTTTCCTTGTAAGATGTGAATGAAGTATGCATGTGCATCGACTGTTGAATTCACTTTTGTGCCATTTTTGTAAATATAATAGTTTTGCACAACCTTTCACAAATGTCTGCATTAATTTCACCTATGAGAAAGTATATAATGTGCCAACCTGAAGCACAAAAGTTCCTACACAAAACTCTGTCATTACAACTTTTGTGTAATAAGAGCAGTTTGCAAGCTTGGGTTTATAGAATACCAAGTGGAAGTCTTTGCTCAGTCTGCTATAGAATTAAGCTTCATTTGTTCCTCACATCTGTTACATTCAGTGGCCTTGTGCAGATACGATATGTGGCTTAGGCATATCTTTGTCCTATGCAGAACATTTCCTTTTGACTTTTATGAAAGTTGTAATTCATATGATTTACATAAATTTTTAAAATGTAGCTACTTTTTACTTCCATACCTCCTTTGGGGACACAACATAAAAGGCTTTCATACTCTGCCCTGCATCCCTGCCCCACCCTGGCTTTTTCCTTTTTTCTCTGCTTCTCTGACTCACGGTATTGGCTGTTGAGTACATCTGAAAGCACCAGTGTCTCTATTCTTACTCTCTAAACTTGCTGTGCTAAACACTGTTTTGTAACACAATAATAGTCTTTTCCTTCTAATTTCTCAGTTGTTAATTGATCACTCAATCCTGTGTTATTTACTAACATTTGACAGTAGTTTAAATAAATGGAACTTTATAGTGAAACAGACATGAGAAGACTGGCCCAGGGATCTTTGTCAGGATGAACTGGATTCTGGTAAATGATTTGAAGGACTTATGATGAGCTTAGAGGAATGTGACAATTAGAGCAACTCACATGATAGGGAAAACTTGTATTAAAAGTATCCAGATGTTAGTGTTACAGGTGCCACTTTAATAAATATCAATTTCATTTTACTTTTGGTTTATTTAACTAGTGAGAGCCTTAAGGCATTTCTGGGATACATTCAGAGCTGTAAGGCCCTGGCACGATGGGGTGGGTAGCCAGAGATGGTTCTGTATTGCTCTTTACTTGACCTGTACAAGACCTGTCCTCCCTCTTTTGGGTCCAGGCATCGTATCTAGGTTTGGGCCCTTTGCATACTCACTTTCCTGTGCTCCCAGATCATACTGGCTGACACCGGGGACCCAGCACTTGCGCTCGTGGCTGGTGATCCCTCCCCACCCCAGAAGCAGAAGAGCAACAAAATCAGTACTGTGCTCTTTTCTGATTCTAAGGATGGATGATACATAGACACATGTATTTGCAATGAGAACAAGTAGGTTATTCCCCAATATGTATACGTATACCATTGATTTAAGACTTTAAAATATCCCAAAGTCAGATTTTGTATCTAGTCTTTGGTTTTTACACGAACATTTGCAAACTATCTCACCATTAAATCCAAACATCAGAAAGATGGGCAGAGAGACCATGTTATTCCTGACCATGAGCAGGTGCCTGTGGTTCATGGCAGGTGACATGGCATCTGCTTGGGTTTGAGTGTGTAGAATATAATGCTAATATTTAACCTACCTCAAAACTTGTTGAGGATCTGTGAGATACTGAGTAAGTGCCCATAAGTGAAGTATTGACTCTTTTTATTAAAAGTAAATCTCATTAAGCCAACCTGCCTTCTGTAGTCATAGTGCTTCAAATCTTAGGCTTTTCCATTGGGAAAGCCCTGTTGGCAAGGAGTTAAAGGTATAAGTGACTAGCCTCCATTGTTGGTGCTTGGGATAGAGAGGTTTAAAATTACTCTGTTTTTTGTTCTGCCTCAGAGCTCAGTTTATTGAAGACATTTATGTTAAACTGAAGTTGGAGATAAATACTTCATGAAAACTCTCAAAGTCTGAAATAGTTGTCTCATATCCAGTGGCTCCAACTCTGGATAGCGCAGTTTTGAGAAGCATTTCATTCTTGGCGGCTACACCTAGCTAAAACAACTGCAGTCCTTGGCAAGTTGGAATAGGATTGTTTTGATGAATTCAAAAGAGCATGTTTGTGGTCTACAAGTTGTTCAGTACTCTTGTGCTGCTGATGTAGAAAATGTGTCTTAACCATTGATCAAGGCAGGCCCATGAGGGCCTCTCTACTTGTTACTATGTCTACAGTTAGAATTAGTTGTTCTCTACTTGATCTAACAAAAGTATACCTCTAAATATTTACTGATGCTTTTTACTAAATCAGACTTATACTTGACCCAAATACAGTGGTGTTTTATCCAAGCCAAAATGCAGCCTCTTGTCACCCTGTGCTGCGAATTCAGTGTTCGGTGATCAGGAACAGCTCACCTGTGGCAAGCACGTTTCGGGCGGTTACCAAGGCGTGTCCCCAGCATTCAGCCATTTCCTCCACTTTTTACATCATTCTCATTTCCCTTGCTCCCCTCCTCCCGCGTGTTCTTAAAGCTGACCGTTGGCATTTACTAAGTGGTGTTCGGGACTAAGGAGTCACGATTTAGGGCCCTGTAAATTCTCTAAAGCAGCATCCTGCTCTTGGTAACCACCACCCTGATGCACTGTCCCGACTCTCCACTCAGCATGCACTGCCGGTCCTTCCTGGGTCCCTTGTCCTTCGTTCCCCACACCTCATAAAGTTGGATCGGAGGGATTTGTGATTGTTACTCTATGGATAAAAACACCCATTTGAACACTGTCTTACTGGTTTTTGCCTTTCAAGTAGGTAAGCTTATCAGTTTTATTCTACAGATTACCTGTGATCCTAGTCGCCATGAATGTATGTTTGTATTTATGGATTACATAGCCGTTGAGAGGAACATCCTACTCCTTTAGTATGCCCTCAAACCTGTGGCTGCATCTCTAGCATTTGTTATGCAGTAGAACACTTTGCCTGTATTCAAAGGGCCAAGAGTAGATGCTTTTTCTGTTAAGTGTGTGTAGAGTTGGCAGTTGATGCTGAAAATTGTCATATAGCCCTTCTAAAATTATACTTGTAAAATATCCAAAAATAAATTGATCTGCCTAATTTCTATTAATTTAAGTTGCAGTTTCATCTTATTTAATGTTAATATTTTTAGTATGTTTTCTGAAGTTTAGTGACCACTATATGCAGAAAGAATTCAACTGTTGTGTCATTTTCATTTATAAAATGTGTGTTAATGAAACCCCGGTTACCTTATCTTTTTTAGTTATAAAGGCTTTGAAATCAGATAGGTAAAGTGTTTGCAGCTTCCGAGCCCTGTTCATCCTATGTATAGAACACTCCAGCGAAGCAGTACTGGGTACAAAGAGATAATGAGATGAACAGCTCACTCTACTTAGAAATGAAATGCATGTGTATAACTAAACGTGAGGTAGGAAAGATTTCATTCCCAGAGGTAAAAATAAGTCCAGAAACATAAAGGAGCAAGTTCTCCCACTTAGAGCGTGAGTGGACCGAGTGGGAGTTAGGACAGAGGGGTTGTGGAGGTGGAAGTTCTAAAAAAATGTCTTTGGTAGTTACGCATATCCTCAATGTCTTTCTGTGGGGTGGGGCTTCTCTCAGGTGGTGACCTCTGTTCCACATTGCGGCTCACAGTTTAGGACTTAGCTCACATCGGTGTTGGGGAATGAATGTCTCTTCCCCACATCATATTGACTGTTGTGAGACACAGTGACCCTTGCACACACACTACTGGAGTGTTAATCACAGTGCATAGGAGCTACCCTAACTTGGTTAACCAAACAATATTTTCTGAAAGAAACTCTACTCTGGATGGAGACTAGCCATTTGTATTCACCCCTGCTATACCACTTTACCACCTGAGAGGCTGAGGCAGGAGGATCACAAGGTTGAGCCTAGCCCTGGCAATTCAGTGACTTAGAGGGTGTCTCAACAAAAAAAAAAAAAAAAAAGAGGCTGGGGGGATGTAGCTTAGCACACAGGCTCTGAGTTCAACCCCCAGTACTGGAGGGGAGGAGGGTGGTAGGCTTCACCTCCACAAGTATCTCACTTAAGTCATTTGACATTCTTCTGCACAAGAGATTTGTCTCCTGTCCCTCACACATTCATTCGCTGACTGACTTAGATCCATTATGGACTCATAGACATGTCTGTTACCCTTGAGTTATGGCATAACTCAGCACTGCTCTATTTTCAGCCCTTTCCTTTGGGCTCTAGGCCTTTGACCTGTTTAGCTGTGTGGTTTGTGAGCACTGAGGTCCCGCAGGCCATCCTGTGCTTCCACCACCAGTCCCAGGGTCACCCATTTCATACCACCATGCTCCATTCCTTGGAGCATGGTATGAAAAACGACTTCAGGGAGGTCTAGTGGGGCACGCCTATAATCTCAGCATTTGGGAGGCTGAGGCAGGAGGACTTCAAGTTGGAGGCCAGCCTGGGATATACAGTGCCTTCAAGGCACTGAACAACAGCAAAACCCTGCCTCAACACAAAAAGAGTACAGAGACAGGAATGCAGTATTAATTTGCCAGCGCCACCATACCAAGCACTGCAGAGTGGGTGGCTTAAAGAGCAGAAATGAACCCTGTCATGCAGGTGTGAGAGCACTAGCTTCACAGGCCTCTCCACTCAGCTTACACGTGCTCAGTTTCCTCCTGTGTTTTCCCTGTCTCCACACTCATCTCGTCATAAGGACACCACTCATAGTGACCTCATTTAACTTAATGACCCCATCTCCAACCACAGCTCTGTTCCCAAAAGCCTAGGAGTTGGACTTCAGTGCATGAATCTGGTAAGGGACAAAGTGTAACCCATGGAGGGGAAAGAGTGGCTTTACAGTGCAGGTGCCTGCTAAGTACTCCCTGAGTCCGTGATGGAGGTCAGTAGGAACAGTAACAAGTCATGCTCACGGCATGGTGTCATGATGTCACAAAAATGGCACTCAAGACAAATCCCAATGGAGAGACACCCCACTGCACACTGACCTGTGCACTCAGAACTGTTCCAAAACAAGGAGAGTCTGAGAACCATCCGCCTGGAGGAACCTAAAGGCCACGCGCACCAGTGGTGCTGCACGCTTTGGGACAGGATCTGGAGCAAGAAGAGAACCATAGTTAACAGCAAGGAGACCTGAATAAAGTAGGAATCAGTCTTGGTTGTGTAACAAGAATACCATACTGAGGTAAGATGAGTAATAGGGGACCTGGTTGCAGAATATGTGGGAACTCTATTATCTGTGCAACTTTTCTGTAAATCTAAAGTTCTAAAATAAAAAAGTTCATATTGTTTAAAGGCTTGCATGGACTAGGGGGCACCGAAGCTAGTGGGGTCATTGAGTCCTAAGTCTTTTTCGCCATTTGTGGGTGTTGGCAACACAGGCTGAGTATGTGCTGTGGAATCAACAGTCCAGGAGCATCAAGGTGACAGAGGCCAAGTGAGGGCTATGAATGTGGGCAGAAGGTATTTCCAGATCGGAGAAACATCAGCCAATTGAAGGATCAGGTGGCACAGAGCTAGGCACGCAGACCAGAAGCATAAACTAGCAAGTGTCAGGAGATTGGCTGGAGGACTACAGCCTGAAAGACCGGAGAGCATCAGAGAATTAGGATACACAAGATTAGAATTTAGAATTAGAATAATAGGTACTAGACATAAAAACAACAGTAATGATAGCAGTTTACATTTACAGCACAGTTTATTTATGGAAAGTTCACATATATCAGGGTGTTGGCCTAGCCCCAGTCTCCTAAATGAGTGTACAGTGAATGGCTTAAGTAAAGGACAAGTGATATGGTTTTAGGGTTCCAGGATGATCAAAACCGTCTAACAGAATTTGAGATTCTCTGGGGGTTGAGACAGAACTTCTCTGGGTGGCCTGTGTTTATTTGGTTTTCAAACTAAAGAAGGGGATAGTGAGACAAGGCAAGAACTAAGCAGGACCTTGGGCATCAGTTCAAAGACTTTTCCAAGTAATAAATTTTACCAATTAAGAGAACTGTCTTATCTCGAAGGTTGGCAGCTTTATTGCTCTGGAATAGGAGGTGTCAGCAGCCCTTGTCTCTGGCTGCCTTAGCTGTGGTTATCTTGACTTCAGAGCACTCTGCATGTGCTCTTTTCCAACACACATGTATCATCTGCTACTAAGTATTGTACCTCTTAAGTGAAGCCTGTTTTTTTTGTTTTGTTCTGGTTTTGGGGACAGGGGACTGAACCCAGGGCCTTTGCTTGAGCTATATCTCCCATCCTTTTTTATTTTTAATTTTGAGAGGGGGTCTTGCTAAGTCTGTAAGTTGCCCAGGCTTGGCTTGAACTGGCAGCCCTGCTACTGTTACTGGACTTGGGTCTTGTCCAGGTTCCTGAAGTCTAAAGCCGAGATCTGAGCAGGACACCCCAGAGCAGCAGCAGGGCCATGGGTTATACAACAAAGAAAAGACAAGATCCACTCCACAGGGTGGGCAGCCAGGGAAAAGAGCTTGGGGCATCATGGGACCCCGTCCTGGGGTCCAACCTCAGGGTCTGGGTGGGAGTGGGGTCTGGTCTGAGCCGTGCCTGCTGCCACCACTGGACTCAGCCCTTGCAGCGGTGGAGATGTGACCTTCCATGGCCTTGGAGGAACTGTCATGGTGTCCAAGGCCACAACAGCCAAATCTACAGTCAGTGACATGGCAGTGGGTGGGTGACTGGGGCTGCAGAAGTCCCCTGCGCGGGCCGAGCCTCGCCGTGTGTAAGCAAAGTCACCTGCCTACCTTCTGTCCTGCGTTCAGCCCTGGGCATCCCAGTCCTCGCTAACCTTTAGTCCGGAACGTGGCTCTGGTCCTAGAAAGCGGCTCAAGGCGACTGCCTTTGTCCCTGGCCATTTCCTTGGTTACCTAAGGCCTCAGCTGGAGCTGGAAGGCACTGGGAGGTGGGCGGACCTCCCTCTCTGCGGTCCTCACCTGCTCCCTCCTGCCTCGTTGCCACAGCCTCCCACGGGGTTGCAATCACAGCCTGTGCAGCCACACTGGCCCAAAAGTCTTTCAGTCACCTTGCTCTGTTCTTTTTTCCTGTTTTAAATTTTGCCTATTTATAGGGTACTGCATGATATTATAATACTGTCTGTAATGTGTTGAGACCAAATTGGGATGATTAGCATTTCTGGCGCCTTAACATTTATCTTTTCTCTGTGTTTGGTCCCTTAGAAGACCTCCATTCTAGTTCTTGATAGAGTAAGGTACTGTAAACTCTGGTCACCTTAGAACTGTGCTCTATTCTTGACTTCTTTTTCTGCTTTGGAGCTTAGTTCTTCAGTCCTGCCTGTTCCTTGGTCATAAGTGACCTCCCACCCACTCCTCCATTCGGTCTCCCACTGAACTATCTAGACTTCCTCCTCAGCCCGCATGGTCCTCTAACGGGAGACACTGGAACAAGCACCAGGAACCCAGTACTTTGCCTCTGGCCCTCACCCTGGCCCATCTTATAGTATCTGCACGGTGACTTCCTAAAGCCAAGCAGCAGGGCTGCCCTTCCCCTGCCCGCCCACCCTGGAGGAGAGGACAGCAGAGGAGAGCCGCCCAGGCCGGGCATATTTCACTCAGCCCTGTGGCTTTATTATGGTAAATTTGAGCAAGGGACATAACTGGCCCTTGGTACAAGCTTCAACAGGAGGGCGGCGGGGACCACCCGTGTCAAAGGCTGACTCTCCAGGTCCTCGCTCTGCCGAGTTTCTCCGGTGTACGCTAGTACGGTTGAATTTTGTTTCCCAAACGTTGTTGAAGTCCTAACCCCCAGAACCCAACAATGCGGCCCTATCTGGAGATGGAGAGAATCTCTGAAGACAGTGAAGACCGCAGGGGCGGCCCTCGTCCAATAGGACGGTGTCCTCAGGAAGAGGGACCTCGGCAGGGGCTGCCGCACAGCCAGGTGGAAGGCACGGGAGGGTCGGGGCAGAAGCCAGGCCTGCGGGCTCGGTCGGAGGAAGGGACATCGCAGCGCCGGGCCTCCGCGTCAGGGGAAGGGGTGCCACCCGCGGCGGTGCGGCCAGGAGTCCGGCCCATGCGGAGGCTGAGGCAGGGGGACGAGAGCCTCGGGAGACCCCGTCCCGACGCGAAGTAGAAGGCTGGGCCGGCGCAGGGCCCTGGGGTCCAGCGAGCGCGGCGGCCGAGCAGACGCCGTGCTCCGGGCTTGGGCCTCCGGCCCCTCGGCCCGGCATCTCCGGGGGGCCGCGAGTCCCG